CTTCTTTCTTCTAGCTGCAGCACTTTTTCTCCCCCAGGCATCCCTTAGCTTCCGTTACAGGCTTTGTTTGTTTGTTTGTTTCAATGATAAAATCACTTATGACATCTCATTAAAGACAGAAGAGCTGCTCTTTCTTATGAGTCCACTTCAAAATGTAGATATTTTTAAGAGGCATCCACAAACACTTAAATAATAAAATTTAAGGAAATCATAGAAAAAGTTTGGCATGGTGCAGAGCTAAGGGGCTATCATAGCTCTCCAATCTGGCTACAGGCTCCTTTAAAAATATATATGTATATATAGAATATAATAATAAGGGTTCCTGGGGGGGGAGGGGGAGAGGGAGGGGTTAAAGAGGAGCTGATCTCAAAGTGTTCGAGAAGAAAGAAAATGTTTTGAAAATGATGGTGGCAGCAATTGTACAATTATGCTTGATCTAATTGAATTATGGATTGTTATAACAGCTGTCAGAACTCCCAATAAAATGATACAAAGAAAAAAGAAAAGATAAGGTTGGGTTAGGTTTTTGTTCTGATGGTGCTGAAGAATTACCCAAAGTTAGAAAATAATAATGTAAGCCTATTACAGAAGAGAGAGAAAACAGATATAAAGAGAACGTGCGTATTATCTATACAGCCTTTCTCTTTACTGTGAGTAATCAACCGCAGAGTTCAGAAAAAACCCACGGCCTCTACCAGTTGCATTCAACTCCTGCTCTTTCCCAGAAGTGAACATGTTCAGTGACAGAGTCTAACTCTAAAGACATAAGGTTTCCCAGGCCCAAAGTGAATCAATCCTGCTAGAATGATAATTTAGATGGTTAAGGTTCCCTGGGCTACTCCGTACTTTCATGTAAAACTTTAAAATTATTTAAAGGTAAAGATACACCGTTTTCCTGCTCCAACAACTCTTCTGTGGGGTTAGTCTCAGGCTATTTGAGAGTAAAGTTTAGAATACAAGGAATTTGAATGTCCAAACATCAAAAAATGAATCCATAATGAAGAATTCATGACGGTGGTGCTGTTGGTAAGCACTAGCATGCTCACCTCCAGAAGCAGTCCTCGTAGAATGGGACATGTGAAAACACACAAAAAACCACTATCTGTGCAGTCTCTGACTACTATAAATTTTCTCAAGCATTCTGACTGATGTCTGTAAAAATGAATTTCTTCACTTTTGAGGTAATTTCAGTTGCTTAAGTTCAGTGAATAGTGTGTCTTTCATACTTTTTAATTTTAAATTTTATTTTATTGGGTGCTCTTACAGCTCTTATCACAATTCATACTTTTTGCATTGTGTCAAGCACATCTGTGCATATGTTGTCAACACCTTTTTCAAAATGGGTGCATAAGCAAATGTGGTGAAGAAAGCTGATGGTGCCTGGCTATCAAAAGATATAGTGTCTGGAGTCTTAAAGACTTGAAGATAAACAAGCAGCCATCTAGATCAGAAGCAACAAAGCTCACATGGAATCATCTCACATGTGTGATCATGAGGTATCAATGGGATCATGTATCAGACATCAAAGATCCAAAACAAACAAACAAAAAAATCATATCAATGGAAATGAGGGGAGTGCAGAGTGGCGACCCAAAGCCTATCTATAGTCAATTGGACCCCCCCTTGTCAGAGAGGCCACAAGGAAGAGATGAGCCAGTCAGGGTGCAGTATAGCACCGATGAAACACACAACCTTCCTCTAGTTCTTTAATGCTTCCCACCCCTCCACTATCATGACCCCAATTCTATCTTACAAATCTGGCCAGATCAGAACATGTGTACTGGTACAGATAAGAGCTCACAACACAGGGAATCCAGAGCAGATAACCCCCCAGGGACCAATAAGGGGAGCAGCAATAATAGGATGGCAAGGGAAAGAGGGTGGAGAAAAGAGTAACCGATCACAATAATTGACATATGACCCCACTCCCAGGGAGATGGACAGCAGAAAAGTGGGTGAAAGGGGACAGCGGTTGGTGCAAGACATTAAAAAAAAGAAGAGGAATTTATAAATTATCAAGGGGACATGGGGGAGGGAGGGCAGGGGAGGGAGAAAAAAACGAGAAGCTGATACCAAGGGCTCAAGTAGAAACAAAATGTTTTGGAAAAGTCCTGCCATTTTTGAAGATTATTTTAATCGCCTAAATGACTTTTTCAAAAGTTCTCTGTCTAGCTTATAAATCAATAACCCAATAAAGACATGGTCTTTGGCTATTTTGTTTGACTCTTCATGATTATGTTATAGTCTCTATTTTAAACTAGCTCTTTGAAACATACTCATATTATTCGACAGGTGAATAATTTATATGGTATAGCTAGCTTGAATTCCATTTCTGTTCCAAAGATGTGGGAAATGCCGCTTATATCATGATTAGGATAGGAGTTGAAATGTATGTGTTATTTACTATCTTTTTAACTTTACAAGTAACAGCACATGTGACCTTCAAATAGCTCGGCGTCTTTTCAATTTTCCTAACACTTCAAATTGGGCAAGTAAAATTAATGTTTGTAAATATTTATTCAAATATTCAAAGTTTTCATTCAAAAACATGATTTGGAATCTTTCTATTGATTGAAACCCCATGTCATAGAGTCAATTCAAACTATATAGGTCCAACTAGGCTGTCAATCTTGAGCAGAGAGCCTCATGTTTCTTCTGAGGAGCAGCTGGTGGTTTCGAAGCCATGACCTTGTAGTTAACTGTTAATGCTTACTCACCAGCACCACCTTTGATTATGTACTATTCATCACGAAATCCAGATCCTTCCCTTCCCCTCTCATCCTGATTGGCTTGAGACAGAGCACCCTCTCTTTGGGGGCACCCGGGATGGGTGGTCAGCTTCAGTACAGTCCATCCTCCAGCTGCTATGTACTCTCACGTCTCCTTCACGTCACCTTTCTCTGCTGAGCACCCCACGCACTCTTTATCCACCTCTTACTGCTCTTGTTCACTTCAGAACTCCCCGCAATCTCTACCAGCTCATTTCACGGATTTTTCAAGAGTCGCTAGTAACCGTCATCTTCTCTGAACGGAGACTCTCTGGTCTTCGCTGCGCTGACCGCTGCTGTTGGCCTGTACACGCTCTTTGCCATGTCGCAAACTCATGTGTTGAACATTTTGTGACAGAATAATGACTCTGAATCTGTACCTCCAACCCAGACTTCGTTTGGGAGCCAACTACCTGTTAAATATCTGTATCTCAACATCCCACATGCATTTTCAATCGCACCAAAATGCTTATGATGACATGTAGGGACTTCAGTGTGGTCCCCTCTGTGTTCTTTGTTGATGTGGTAATGTAGATGATTATTTACTTATGCCAAAAATCTTAATGCCGTCTTTGATTACATTATTTTCCATCTTCATTCATCCATTACTAGCTTCTTCAATTTTACCTCAAAATAGTTTTAAACCCAGTCCTCTAATCATGCTTATTCACCTTTCCTCATTTCAAGAAATTGTCTTATTTTGTATGAATCATCCATAGACTTCTGCAGAATCACATCATGCTAATACTCTTGCCTTCAAAATCTGTCCTACTCCTTTATTTAACAGTCCCCAGGATACAGCACAAACTACACTTACATAAAACCATGTAGATTCCTTTACTATTGTAATGACCACCTTGCATGCAATTTATCTCTCCAAGAGGACAATACACTCATTAAGAGGGGAGGCATGTTTTATTTACTGTAAATGTACTATAAATATCTCCACATGTGGGTTTATAGATACACACATCTACATCTACATATATGATTATCCCACATAAAGTGTTGAAGAGATGCCCACCCCAAACATTAATTAGAGCTTTTAAGCTTTGTTGGTGAGACTTCATCTCACAGGCTTTGGGCCTGTTATCAAGAGGGACCAGTCCCTGGAGGAGGACATCAAGCTTGGAAAAGCAGAGGATCATCATAGAAAAAGAGAAGACATGGATCAATACAGTGGCTGCAACAAGTGGCTCAAACCGAGCGAGCTTTGACTCTGCAGAAGGCACAGACCCAGGCCAGGTCTTGACTGGTTGCACAGAATGTCACTGTGAATTGGAACTGACTACATGGCACCTAAAAACTAACAGCAGAATGATTTTATCTTGCTGGTTTTACGTTGAACTTTCTCTAAAGGGTATTGGACCAAGGTTAGTATAGATACCCCAAGCGCTTAATATGGGGCACACCATAAACTTGTTACTGAATGAATGAATACATTCACACTGCTAGAGTAACGGACTGTGGTGAATCCGCACTTTGAGACACAATCACACGTGCAATTTGGAAGTAGTTCAAATTCAAAAGCACCCCTTTGAAGCATTTAGGTGTTTTAGAAAACACAAAGATGAGCAATTCATAGAGCAATTTACATATGCTAAACTATTATGGAATATACTCAATAGATCTTTATATCTCATGCTCTTCCAATCTTAACGGAGGCTTACCTTCAAGAGCACAAAAGACGCGTGGTATTTTTTATGCTATAATAGAACATCCTGAAGTGTGTAAACAAACTCAGACTTATTAGCATATTTTAAAATATTATAACAAGCTATCTTGGTAAGTTTTCAGGAATTTCATTTCAATATATATACACCTTGAAAAAATATATTTTTATCAAACCATTTTGAAATGGAAAATTTGAAAAGAAGATTACTTATTGCTTATAAATTTCAAGCATATAAAAATGCTAAAATACACGTTTTATTTTACTTTAGCTAAATTTTCAAAAGTTTCAAAAGACTTAATAAAATCTCATATAAAACTTATTTATTAAATTTTACTTAATGAAAAGGAAAAGACTACAATACTGCCAAAATGTAGTGATTTCGTTCTTTGCCTCCCTCAATCTTTGCACTCTCTTATCGTATCATTTAATGATCTTTCCGGTATGCTTAGCTCATTTAAATAGTGTGATGAACATTACTATAACTATTTGCAGATGCTTAGTATCTGGGGGAAAATAATACAGTTTAGCAAGATGTATTTTTGTCATCTTATTTAATTCTACTTTACCTAAAGGGCAAAGGAATTCGAGATAAAAATTATATTAGCAACAGTCTATTGAATTCATCAGAAATCCATATGCAAAATAATAGATTCACACAATCATCACTTCTAAGATCAATGTCCATTATTTAAATTTTAAATAATTGATTTTAATCAGATGTTGGTGGATCACCATCCATTCACAATAATGACTAATCATCTTCAAATAATTTCTTTTCTGCCTGAACACAGCAGTTTCGTTTAATACAAAATATAATGTATTTTAGCACGAGATGGGCTTCATATAAATCCCAGAAAGTCTTCACTGAAAACTGAAAGTTAATTTAAATCCTTGCTTTTATTATCTGTGCATCCGTGCTGCTGTTAGAAGCCACAGAGCGATTCCCACTCGCAGTGACCCGATACGGCAGAGGAGATCTGGTCATGCCCTCGGATGTGATCTCTACAGAAGCACATCACCACACCTGTCTTCCTGGGTGAGCAGCGGAGTAGTTTCGAACCAGTTGCCTTGGGTGGGCACCCAAATGCTTAAATGCCATGCAGCCAGGGGTCCTTTGTGCATTCTTAACTCTCCAGATTAAATGAGGCTCATTTTCAGAGTTTTAACAAACTACAATCAGGAAAATGAGTTGTATTTGACTTTCCCCAAATATCTGAGATTGCTAGTAATGAGATTTGTAACTGCTTAAAATGCGTGGCGTGTTTCCTGGCATTGAAACAAGTTCACTGCGATTCTGAGAAGTAACCATTTTCTAAGGCAAGTAGTTTACACAAAGGAATTAAAAAAATTATTTTCCCAGACAGATCATCATTTCAAGACTATGCCATACTTAGTCTTTTGGTATATCAATCACTTTTCTTGCTTTACTCGCGATATTATCTACTTGGAATATTATCATTAAATGTAGACCTAAGGCTGAGAAATGACGTGAACAAGTCGTCCCGAGGGGCCTGAGTTTCTTGGGTTTAGTACTGAAAGTCTCACATTCTAAGAAACCTCAGTTCTTTGCCAACTAGGATGATTGGCACCCCCGGAGAGGGAACCCACATTTGGAACATCTTTTGAGATGGTAAAGACTTACCTTCACATCATTGGTGTTCATTCTTGTTCCCTCCTTCCCCACAAAAATGTCATCGATGTCCACAAGGATGTACCTGTCCAAGGACAATGTCAGCCTCTGGCCTGACAAGAAGGAGATCGCATCTATGAAGATGAGCTTGTGCAGCCAGAAGTTCAAGTTGTTGCCGAAAAGGACTCTCTGAATCCCATCTTGAAGCCCCAGGTCATGTATGATAGTGGCAAAGAAAACACCTTTAGAGATGGGAGGAGAAAGATTTTCTGGGGTCTTTACTTTGGCAAATATTACTGGTTGGTAGGCTGAATGGTTGGTCTGGAAAACTGTCCAGTCAGTTCCAGGCAAATGAGCTTTCTCAAGCTTAGAAGATTTGGTTACCCGAAGCAGTGGAGAATGAGAGTTAATGCAACAATCCTTAACAGCAAGGTTCCCATATATGGAGAAAGGGAAACCTTTTAACTGAAAGTTAGGCGGGCTCTTCTCACTGGTTTTGTGGAATCCTATAACACCCACACCATATTCCATACAGTATTTATCTAAAAGACCTCTATTCCAAGAGTCCATATTTATATACTTCAAAATATTCTCGTAAATAATGAGAATATATTTCCCTTTAGCTTTGTCAATAAGTGCCGGAAGATCCCCCTTCCCAGGAGCAATTTCAATGTGATACTGGAATCTACTTGATTCTAGTATCATAATGATGTCTTGACCAAGGGGGGAGTATTGGCTCTCCACAAACACCAGGACGATGGGGTCTGTCCTCAAGGAATCAAAAGGCTTCGCCACCTTCACTTCCACTGGCCTGTACGGCAGGTGCTGGAGAGCCCCACAGTCCACTTGTGAAGCCATTTCAGAGAGTTCCGTGTCCTGCTTGTAGCCACTGTACAGGTAATACGCGGAGATGATAATGCTCACCATACAGAAGGTGGCAAGCAGAATAACCGTCCTTTGAAAATGTCTATGAAGCTTCATGATAAAACTCATGTTGTATATGCTTGTCTCAGACGGTTCCCAATCGAAGCACCATAAAAATGTAAAGGGGCAAAAGAAAGGTGGTATTTCCGCTACTTCCCAGTCTCCGTCAAGTCTTTATGTCACCATTGCAGCACATTTGGGTCACTTGACCAGGAGGCACGGAAAATGTAGCCTGAAAAATAGAACACATTTGTCGAACATTCGGTCTGCAGCATTGAAACGAGCAAATCATTATCCTATTGACTAGAAACAATGCGTTTATTATGTCAGGGGAATTAGGGTGTGATGAGTAATAAAACTGCCTTCTCTCTATATATATATATGTATACACACACACACACACACACACATATTTATATTTAAGTGTTTAGTCACTAATTGAAAAGCTGGATATTTGAATGCAAAGAAGGGCCCCAAAAGAAAGGGTGCCTGGCAATCGACTCCCAAACATCATAGGCATTGGACACCCTTTGGGGTGCAGATCGATTTTGAAACACGATGAGTGAGAATCAACTTGATGAAGAGTCACTTGGTTTGTTATATCTTTCTTGCAAATTTGGATTATGAAGTGGGGGTGAGGAGAGGAACAAGGAAAAATATTCAGTTGAACAAAATCCCCCTTCCCACCACAGGGGGAAAAAGCCTTAGTCTACTAAGGAATTTAATTTGATTCACCAAACTCCGTAGATAATACAGACCTAAGACTACAGCAACGTCACCTGAAGCATGTGACAGAGAAGTAGCCACTATGCAATGGACAGTCAAGCTATTTTTGTTTGGCTAAAACAGAGAAAAACCTAAATCGAAAAGAACGTAGAAGATATTTTAAAAATAGGATAACTTTAAAATGGGTCAAAGGGAGATCAAATGCTAAGGTATTAAATTTTAACCTAATTACATCTGCCATAATCCACTTCCCAATGCACTCTGCATGAGAGCAAAGCTAATCACATCCAAGACAGAATGTTCTTTTTTATTCCCCAGCAGTTTCATTGGCAAGTAATTTACCTATCACATAATTCAATAGTTCAATCATTCAATCATATCTAGGAGAATTGTACAATCACCCCCAAATTAATTTTCAAGCACACAACCCTCCCGCACGGTTAAATCGCCTCTAAGATGAGTTATGCAATCACAATCTGTTCTAGTGCTCCCGTCCCCTTCCTGACTTCATCATTTACTCCCCCACTCTCCTTCCCTATCATCAATTCCCCCCACCTATATCCCCTTATATCAGTTATTATCATTTTGCACCCACTCCTCCTGTGCTTCACAGCTGGGAGACCCAACAGAAAACGATAACAAACAAAAGTACGCTAAGGTGGTGAGGTTAAAAACATAACAGTATACAGACCGAAACACAAACAATGCATAAGAAGGAAAAGACCCCCAACAACATTCAAAAGCCAGGGAAGACATTTCTGTCATGGACCCAGTAAGAGATACTTGCACCCAGAACAAACTCAGGCATGTCTATAGTGGGGGTCAACTGGTCAAGTATTGAGTTCGATCCAGTACAATCAAGATTACAATGGAATGTTCTTGATGATCACTTAGTCTAATTCCATCAGCTTAGTTCAAAGATACTGAGGCTCAGGTAACATAATTAACAAAAGGCAACGATGGGATTTTGCAAACAGTAACTTGTTTAATGGTTTCTTGAAGATATGGCAAGGGAGTTTGGGGGGAAATGGGGAACTAATAACAATGAGTATAAAAATAAAGAAAATTCTAAAGTCGAGTGTGGTAATGATTATATAATTACTCTTGATATAAATGAGCTATTGAATTGTATTATGTATGGATTATGTGCCAATAAAACTTAAAAAGAAAGAATTGTTTCTAAAGTCTATGATATCCACCTAGGGAATAAGCAGGGAAGAATATTTTTTAATAATCTATGCTTATGTTTATGAATAATGTAATACACTTGCATATGGTATTATACCTTCTGATGATATTCCAACAAATAATATACTATTAAAGTCTGAAGTATAACTGCAGTTTATTTACAAGATAAATGTGTTATTTATCCTGTGATTTACATATTGTGACTTATTCGTTGAAATATTTAAGGGTTATGCATCACTCATTCAAGTATTCATTTATTGGGTAGCTTTCTATATAAAATGTACATGTTCAGCAGAGTAGATTTATTTAAAAGATTTTAAACTATAAAACAAAGACAGCAACCAGAACGGTGACTAAGAGTGTATAAGCTGTGGAGTGGAGACAAAGGTACCGGACCAGGGCAAGAGGAGAAAGAGCCCAAGTCAAGAAGGGAGACCATGTGATCTCCTGTCTCTGGAAGTGGAGGGGATTTGGACAGAGCTTTGGTGCAAGCCATTTGAAAAGACATGTGAGGTTGCTGAGGTGAGGACAAGAGTGAGACAGCAAAACCATTCATCCGGGCGTGGCCCAAATAAGGGAGCGATCTGAGTCAAGCACTGAAGTTCACGGCTCTGACAGCAAGCATGGAGGCATCGCACGCTCCTGGGCAGGGGAGTAACGTAATACGAGGGAGAAATTCTCGAGAAGATGAAGTCATCAGTAAGGTGGAGGATGTGGAAGCAGTGTTTTAGAGTGGAGCCTAGCAAATCAGCAATCACAAAAGACGCGTGAGAGCCCAAGTGAGGGAGAGTGCAGAGAAGGGGCAAGTCTAAAGGACACTGCGAAGAGAGGCTGAAAAGAAATAGTAGAGCTCTTCTCCTGGGAGAAGGGGAGACATCCTCCTCTGCCAGGTAAAGTGTCTTCATGAGACCTGACCTGCTCTAAAATTCAACTAATGTAAATACATACTATTACAAAATATATGCCATAGGTTTAACAGTTGCTGGGTGGCACAGAGGGTTAAGGAGTCAACTACCAGCAGAAAGGTTGGTAGTTCGAACTGGCCCAGAAGACAGGCCTGGCGACCTGCTTCTGAAAGGTCAGACAGTCTTGAAGGTCCTGTTGCATGTGCCGTGTCCCGCTGCACACACGGAGTTGCCACGAGTTGGAACTGCCTGGACAGCAGGGCGGCAGCAGCAGCAGCACCACGGAAGTGGCTCTCTCAAGCTGTGCACAATTTAAGAAAACACAAAGGACCCCGACAACTTTTTCCACTGAAACTGTAGTACCTCACCTGCAAATAACTAATTGTACTTTCAGGATGTTTCTAAATAATCTAACATGCTGGGATATCAACGCAGGTACAAGCTGCAGCGTCTTCCTAGTCCTGTGCTTTGGTTTTAGCCACGCAGTCTCTGTGACCGAATACCGAAGGTATTGCTGCCTTTGGCATTTCTGAGGGGAGCATTGCAGAGTTTGTCTCCACTGCCACAATCGAAAGGCACATCACTCAGACAGTTCCTATGCGTGATACGTCAGCGAAGGGAGATGGACTTGCTCTCACTATTTAGGGCAGATAGCAGGAAGCTATCAGAGCGACGTTCTCTGTTAACACGTTTAAAAATACTGAAGGTCATTTTCTTTTCCATAAAACTCTTCGGTTTTCCTACAGAAGCCTACAGAATTTCAAGGTATGTCCCTGAGGGCAGGGTTTGATCTAACATGTTTAAATGGAGACATTAAAATTGTCCTGAGAACAAAAATTCCTTACACAGAGGCATTTCTCACTTTGCTGGGGCCGGCTTCAGTCTTTGATTGTACCCACTGAGAGCTTGCTGTTCCTACTGCAACAGCTACTTCCACTTTCGGCTATGTGTCTTCTAGCGCTGGAAATCTCAGGGTAGGCTGCACTGTTGCTGTCACGCCTTCTTCTGCAGGAGCCGGCATAGAGCATCAAGCAAAGGTGCCACTTTCTCTAGTGTCCCCCATTGGTAAGGCATCACCAGAAAGGCAGATAAACCCAAACCCACAGCCACTCAGTAGATTCTGACTCATAGAGACCTTATGAAAGGATTTTGTAGACGGTAAAAGTTTATGGGAGCAGCCAGCCTCATTTTCTCCCGTGGTGGATTTGAACTGTGAACCTTGTGGGTACTAGCACCACACCTAGCCCACAGTATAGATGTGGAACATTATACTCCTCCACACAATTTCCCTGCAAAATCTTCTCTGATATTGCATTCTTGGTAAGACTCAGACGTTGCACGTGATCAGTTATCAAAAACGTCTTTTCTTTGTGCTTTTTGCTACAATTACAGTAAAGTATTCCTTGAAAATATGCCTTCCTTGTCTGACTATAAGCTCTATGAAGGTAGACATGGTGCCTATTTTGTCTACAATGTCTTCCTAGAACCAGATAGATGCTGAGGAAGCACTCAAAGGCTATTTCTAAATTAATGAATACGAATGGTACACTATGCCTGTCAATTAATTTAGAACTACTTATATTTTCATAAGTTATGCATGACTATTAATACAATCGCAATTATCTTTACACCCACTTCTCATCAACATAATCAGAGTCCAAAGACCAGGTTGTTATGTGAAAACTGGCATTACACATAAATGGAGGATCACCACGTAGGATCACAAAATGGAGACTTCTTCATTACATACCTGTCAAATAATCTCATTGTGTAACTGCCGCACCACTGGGAAACATGGCTCAGGGAAGCCAATATGTCACCTTGCCCATCAGTCAGCATTACTCTTACATCACACCTCAGCCGGCGTTCATTACAACCAGACCTAAGTCATTAATACATGAGATAACTGGATAATAGATTTTCTACTATTGTAAATGTAAGTGAAGAGTAGGTTCACATAGAGGATTTGATATCTCTATTCCATTAAACACTAAGAAAATAGAATTATAATATCCCAACATCGCCCCGGGGCAAACTGCTTATGCATCGGGCTGCTAGCACAAAGTCAGCAGTTCAAAACCACCTTGAGAGAAAGATAGGACTTTGTATTCCTGTTAATAGTTACAGTCTCAGAAACTCACAGGGACTAAGGATTGCTCGGAGTCAGCATTGACTAGATGCTACTGAGATCCTAACATCAGCTAGAGAAGGCGCTATGAGAAATAGTAAAGCTTCGCCTACCAAAAAATACCTATAATTGCTTCCAATCAGTCATTAGGCATCAGTGACACATCTGTTCTGGGCTTAATGCTGCACTAGATACTGAAGACATAATAAAAGTCAGAGGAAGAATGGCCAGTCTTGCCTCCAGAAGCCTGTGCTCTGGGGAAGTAACCTCAGGTGTAAAACCACA